TGCGCCTTGCGACGTTGCGCTGCGTCTATCGGCAACGCGCTGTGCGAAACCACAGGCACAGTTTAAATATAGGAACAGTTATGAAACTCCCTACAAACGCTCAAAACGGCACACTCACACAAACATGCACAACTACGAAACTCCTAAGCGGACGAAGCGGTGCTCTCAGTAGCGAGTGCCGCGTCAAGACGAGTAGTCGAGTGGCGTCACTTTTTAAGGTTATCTTCGCGATATTTTTGAAAATGCCACGAACGTATTACGTATGCTTCCGCCAAAACTTGTAAAAGTTTGCGCCGTAATGACAAAGTTAAAGATTTATAGCTATACAAGTTGTTGTATGTTAAAATTAAATTGTCTTCCGTGTTTAAACTATTGTCTTTTGCTGAGATTAACCGACACCATGAAACTACCTATTTAAATTGTATTTGTAAGCTAATTATTTAAATGCCATTGATTGATTACTACATAACAAAAACGTAAAAAATATATTTAAAAAAAAAGTCACAACCCTATCGCTTCCATGGAACATAGGTAATTATGTCCTCAACTAGGCTTAGTTTCCTTACTGTATATATTTATACTGTGCCACTGGCCTTTTCAAGCATCGTCGCGTCGTCGCGTCGCATCATTTTGCGTCTCGGTGTGAACTGACCCTGAGACCTACTTAGACGAACTTATAGACAGAAAAGGATATATAATATACTAGCAAACCCGGCGAACTCCGTTTCGCCACCAGATGGCTTCGTTTTATGTAACATTTCGTTTGGTGATTAAAAGAAGAAGAAAATTTTTTTTGTTTTATATTTGAAAAGGAAAAATTTTATTTCATTTCACAACAGTAATGAATTCTTTTCGATTACAAAAAATTAAGTGTTATTTAGTGGAACTTCTCTAAGTAAATGAAAGTGAATCCAAAGTAAATACTGAATAGAAGCGTTATACGTGTCCACAAATTATCCGTTTCATTGAAGTGCTCTTTGGTAAACCACATTTTTTGTTTTTTGGTCTGACGTTAACACAAACAAAGCGGATGGTTTCCCAACTCGTGAACACGCAACGTATAACTGCCCATGTGAAAAACAATGATTTTCTAAATTTATCCCGCAAACACTAAGCGATTGGCCTTGCGACTTGTTAATTGTCATTGCGAACGCCAAGGCGAACTGGAAATTGCAATCGTTTGAAGTCAAACGGAAGATCAGTCGGAATAATTGGTATTCGAGGAATACATACATTTTCACCTGCGTACTTTCCGTTAATAATGGTTGCCTCAATCAAATTCGGCATAAGTCTTTTTACCGAAAGTCGAGTACCGTTGTAAAGTCGCGGTGGACTCAAATTACGCAATATCATAATAACTGTACCAACTTTGAGTTGCAAGTTATGTGGTGGAAATCCTGGTAACTCCAGAGAGTTCAAAAACTCCGTTGGATAATTTACTACATCATCGGGATTTGTTATGGAATCAACGGATTTGTATGCCACCAAATCGACAGCAATTTTTGATTGAATGGTGAAATTCAGTGCGTGTACATCATTATTCTTTGCGGCAAGAATTGCTCGTTGACTTAACCAAGCATAATTCTGATAATTCCTTGTTTGAAAACATTTTCAACTAATGAGTCTACAAATCGGCAAAAGTCGTTGGTAAGAGTAATTAATCCAGAAGTCGCATCAACTGGTACTTTTCCATTTCCAATAGCTAACAATTGTTCGGAAAATTGTGCAGCACTTTGATAATTTTGAAGTTGAACTCTCATATTAGTGGTTAGCGATAATGTTTTTACGTTATTCCATAAAGGTGATGCCTTCAGGCAAGCATTCAATTCATCTGCAGGCGTTCCACGGGGAATTACTGGCAACTTTTGACTGAAATCGCTTGCCAACAATATCATCAAGCCGCCAAAGATGTTGTTATTTCGCCGAAGATCCTTCAGTGTGAAGTTAAGTGCTTCAAGTGATTTCTTATGTGCCATTGTGCACTCATCCCAAACAATGAGCTTGCATTGCATCAACAATATTCCCATTGCACTGGATCAGGAAATATTGCATCTTGGAGTATCAATTGTGTTTAAATTGAGTGGCAACTTAAGCGCAGAATGTGCAGTACGACCGCCATCTAGAAGAGTCGCCGCAATTCCAGATGATGCTAACGCCAAAACTATGTCACATCTTGATCGAATAGTGGCCAAAATCAATGAAATGACAAATGTTTTCCCTGTTCCTTCAGGTGCGTCCAGGAAGAATAGACCACCAGTATTATTGTCCACCGCTTGCATTAATGTTTCGTATACTTGTTTTTGCTGTTCATTCAGCAACGGCACATTATTTCGAACGAATTCCTGCAATGTATCAACATTGTATTGCAGCTCTCGATTTAATTCTTGGTTGAATGCATCGTGCATCGATCGATTTGGCGCAATCATTCCTACTTCAATCAGTAGCTTGTTTGCAATAGTCAAGCATTGATCCTCAATCAGAATCAATCCTTCATTGTAGATTTCATCGGTTATTTGGATGTCAGGATTATTCGTTTGAATGCGCAAGCGATGCAAGATATCTTCACATATGTCGTCTTTGTATTTGTTCCATAACTGAATTGGTTGTGAAGGAAAACATGTGGTGATGATAATTGCGAACAGCGTTCGTATTTGGTACGCATTTGATGAAACAACTGAATCCGCAAGTGTTAAATCCCAATGAGAATCGTTCTCCAGCAAACCTAATAGTTGACATGCTTCTCGATATGTTTGGCATTGGTGGCCATTCACAGTTTTCAAATGCGCAAATGATTTTGGTCCACGTACATTTACGAACAGCAGTCGCAAATAAAACATTCATCATTTCTAGGATGAAAAGTATATATGCGACCTAGTGCATCAGTGGAAAACACCTGTGGCCAATCTGGAACTGGGGTTCCTTGTTTGCGACGTTGGAATTTCTTTGTTGATTGATTCCAAGTGTAATACTTGGGCATTTCAACGTACATCAGCGTCGCTGCGAATGGATCTGCTTCACACATTGCAAAGAAGCTAGTCAATGTTGTCGATGGTGGTCTCTCAGCTCGTTGTGCCGCATTAGCCTCAGTGAAGTAAACTCTTTGGCCATTTTCCAAATGCACTGCTAAATGTACAACTGTGGGATATCTTTCATGAATTTGAAATGACAATAATCGCCACAGTGCTTCATTAGTACTGACGTATCTGCCCATTTGGAAGTTGCTGATTTCGTCATTCGCATTTTCCGACGCAATACCAAACACAGCCATGTCGCTGCCTTTTGTGACGTACTTGCACAAATATTTGATTGATTTGGCCGAATGACAACTCTCAATGTTTGCATGTGTTTCGAAAATTCGTGATAGCAGCGGGCAATATGGTACAATGAATTCATTTCCGATCTCAATCTCTTGATTTTGAACTTTAACTTTGATAGTTCTACCATTATCTTCTTTTGAACGCCGACGATAAACTGGATATCCATCGTTCCCTGTGACTGTTTCAGCAACTAACGGTCGCGGATATCGTTTTGTGCACTTTCCATCAGCCATGCAAGGCGATAATGGATTTAATGCACCGCACGGTCCATCTGTGTCGTCACAATGTCGTGTAGATGGGGATCAGTGACTGGATCAGGAATTTCAGCTGATATGATGTCATCCACTTCATTTGAATGTAATTTGTTCAGCAACCAAATTAGGATATGAGCATGCGGTAGTCCACGCTTCTGCCATTCCACCGAGTACATATAACAACGTGTGTCACCAAAAACTCGATACTTAGTAAGCACATCCATCATAACCTTGAGTTTTGGCTGAAATACTCTGGCGATTATGTCATGGCGATCTTGCGGATTTTGGCCCGGTTCCAACTCACGTTCAATTTCCGTCCACTTCGGATTGCATGTGAACGTAATAAATAAATCCGGAGTTCCATAATTTCGCACGTACGTCATAGCGTCTTGAGCGTATTCGTGGATGTGGCTTGGGCTTCCGATATAAGATGATGGGAGAATCGTCAGACGTCCAATATTCTGAACATCACCATCTGAATGAATAGCATCACGCAAGTGTATATAGTCCTCAGATCGTAACTTTGCCTGATTGAATCGGATGAACGCTAAACGTTCGGTCTCGACTTTGACATACATGTCGACAGCGAATTGCTGGAATAGCCGACGGCACTTCAGAATGACATTCTCCTCATGAGTACGAATCATCATATGATACACATAGTAATTCATTGCGCTTAGATTTTTATTCGTTGATACGCCTGAAAATGCAAAATTAAATGAATTGTTAATGGAAACCAATAATAGCAATAATAGCAATAATTAGTGTGTGAATATTGTACCTGTAATTGGATAGACCATCTTCAACGTGATGTTGTATCCGTCTTGCCCTTGCCAATAAATGATTGGATATTGTAACGCATCGTACAAACGATGTTTCTCGTTTACACGATGCATGATATTGCTTCTTCGCTGAACGACAATGTCTCGCGATTTAGTTAGATCGCCAACAATAATTGCAGCAACATCATTAACGGTGGGTGCATTGAATCTTCGCACATGTTCACCTGTTGGGGTACAATCTGCTCTTATGACAAATTTGTGCGTATCCGATGGCATTCGTTTCAATGCTGTTTTGAACATATTAACCACAGCATTATTAGCGTGAAAAAATGCTTGCAACTGTTCAATAATTCGTCTCTTTAACTGTTGTGTTCTCTGTATATTGCACCGCATATTCAGCTGATCCACCATCGACGAAATGAAATATATTTGCAGAAATTGATGCGGTTCATTTGGTGTTGGCACCATTGAACCATGCAAATGATATATTTTTCCTTGTACCTGTAATTGCAAACAATCATTTGTTGAAGAATACGGTGTAACTTCTGATCGTGTGATGGTGTAGTGTGTGGTGTATATGTAGTTGTTATGTGTTGCAATTCATTGTGTTGGTATGAGTGATTGGTTATGTGTGCTGTATCTTTTACCTTGCAAGTCGGCATGAAGTCGCCTTCTCGAATGATATTAGCACCAAAGGAAGTCATGCGAAAGCAGTTATTGTATTCAAGGATGTGTTGAAGAAAATGGCTGGAATCGGGATCACTTCCATCGAACAATGGTTTCAGTGTCAGTGGTGGTGTAAGTAATGGATCCAGTTTGACTTTTCCACTTGCGCAGCACATTCCAGCCGTTTCTCTTTTGAACTTTAACGCATTGCAATATCGGCATATAGTCGTCATTGGTCCAATATCTAAATTTTCATCATCACTGTAGTTCGCAGTGGGATCATATTGGAATGCCAAGCAATTGTATGATGTCAATGATCTTCGTGTGCTCACGCGTTGTATCAATCGGGCTTTTTTGTTTCGTTGTTATTCTTAAGTTCTGTGAATACACTTGTTGCTGGCTTGCATGTCTTGTGCGACGGCCGATGTTCGCACGTCGTCCTCTAGGAATTTTGGACTATGGACAGAATGGTGAATTTAACCTCAAATGTATGATCCACATAATTTACACAGTTCAACTTACCACTTTAAAGACAAATGCCTACTGTTGAAATTGAATAAAAATTTGCACAATACACGTGATTGATTTGATGGTTTCCAATTGTAATGTTAGGAAACGAATAACTTATTTTTTTACTTTTTTTTTACAATTTCACAGTGAACACAATATCGGTTTGTCACATGAAATTAACTAAGCAGAGAACAATGAGTAGCTGTCAAACAATGTATCACGCACCGGCGCCATCTACTTAAAATATTGGTTTGTAGTACATGCTATGTATCAAAGATGGCGCTGTGTGTGAAAAAAGATTTTCCCGCTTTTTTGTTGAAATTTTTCCTGAATTTTCTTTGCTATAAACCTCACGGAGCCCGAGACCTTTCCAACGAATGCAAAACCGTGGAAATCGGTTCGTGCGTTCGGGAGTTATAGCGTCAGGAAGGAAAACCCGACTTATTTTTATATAGTAGATCATCTAGTATGGTACGCCTCAACTTCCTAATTGCAATAGTGTAACAACCAATACCTATAGAATTCTAAGGTCCCCTTATCGAGATCGAGGCAAGTACTGATGACATCACCGGGCAGCCAAGCGTGACCATATGGTGATGTGGCCACATTCCATCTCCTAACTCTTCCACCGTCGTACGCATATGAATGGGTGGTATCCCCCACGCCCGTATCCATGGAAAATGTACAGTTTGCTGTACACCAACCAATCTGGAAAATAATAAGCTGTTCAGACAACCAAAGGTAAGAATTTCGTATTACATTAGAATAAGTCTACCTTGTGTTAATTTTCCACTGGCAACCTATGAATACTTTCATTCAATTTTAAAATAAATGAACAAAGTTGACAATATCAATAATTTTAAATAAAGAATTACTATTACGAGAACAACATGGCTGTTAGCCTTTAATTAAACTGAATCTAAATAATTTAGAGGGTTATATCTATTTTGAATGCCTGCTATTTTTTGCAAAAAAGAGCTAGGAGTAACCCAGTAAGTCTAACTAGAAATACAATTAACAAATATATAATAACTAAAAAAGAACTAAAAAGACTAACAGATTTCTAGAATTATCACAAAATATTTTAAATCGTTTTATACACCAACGTTTTAGCTGATGTTAAGTAGTGAAATTGTCCATTTAACTTTTCCTTAAAAAGTTCCAAATTCAACTTCAAATTAAATTTAGACCCTCAGTAGCAGAAGACGCTTATTCATTAGGCTATTACATATTAAGTACTTTAACTAAGTGTTACTCGGCTGTTCTCCACCAAGTCGCGTCGTCGATATACCACGGAATCGAACCAATCGATTTATTTCGTCATTCGTAATGAGTTCAAAGGCCAAAATAATTTGCCAGCACCTGTCTTTTCATCCAATTATGATGTAACTTTTTATAGAATAAGGGTGTCAAACGAGCACACAGTTCACCTGATGGTAAGTGGATACTGTTGCCCATGCTTTCGAAGAATCAAAACGCAGATGCGTTGTCACCCCTGAGGACTAAGATCCGGAGACCATTTTTTACTGTATTAAGCTGCTTTTTACGCTGGTATTCTGTGATTGCATAGTCCTTCTCCAGTCGAGCCGACCTATTCGTGCTACAACCATGATATAGCTGCAGCGTATAAAAGTGTCTTCAAAGCAAGTGTTTCTATTAAACTAAGGTAGTGAACCTTGCCATCTTTGGCTATATCACCACTTACGGCAGGTGGGATATTAGTCCAATGGTAGCTTATAATAATAAAAAATCGTGTTTAATTTTATAGGTTGTAATTTAAGCATAACAAATTACCTGCATAATTCCTTTAGTTCCAAGTTGTACCTCGTACATCCATTTTCCAGAATAAACGCACGCAGTTGCTCTGATGGTAGCAAAACTAGACAGACCTTGGACGCTAACCCTTTCATCTCCAACGAGGACTAAACGACCAGTTCCTTAGAAAAAAATATTCATCTACCTATAAACATCTACTACTGAAAATAGGCCTCCCCCAAAAGATTTCCTCTCGGCGATATTGTCAACGATACCACGATTGGCAGGCGAATTGACATCTGCAATTTTCTTTATAATTATGATTTTTTTTTTGTTGGAAAAATATACTCTATATTGTTGGAAAATTATACAAAACTAGACCTCCTCAAAGTTCAAAAACTTTATTAAACAAAGTTTGCATAAAAAGGGTTATTATGACATTAAGGAATTTATGTATGAATTCCCCTTCCCTCCTTCCCCCCTTCCTCTTCCCCCTCCCTTCCCCCTTCCCCCCTTCCCCCCTTCCCTCCTTCCCCCCTTCCTCTTCCCCAGGGAATGAGGTGATCGCTACCAAGCTATTTCGAATTTATTTTGTGTTGCATATATGATTGTAAGTTATTATTTTTTCTTTTTCCAAAAAGACCTCCAGCTGGGTTTCTTGCTGGTCCCTTCCAGGACAGAGACTTATTTTGAACCAGCGGTAAATAAAATGGTGTACGAATATCCACTACCCCATATCGTCACGTGGGTGTTGCAGGCGACGGGTAGAAACTGAAACAGGAGATGGGTAGCAGCATCTTTCTGATATCAACACGAAATAATTAAAAAATTGCGGTTTGTCCCGCTCGCCAAGCGTGGCAACTGTGGCAAAATCCTTCCTAAGAGGCAATCTATGGTGGACGCCTGTGTTCAGCAGTGGACTCTTATTGCAGTTAGGATTATTTATAATCTATATTTAAAAGAAGTTCTGTTTTCTTTTTTTTGTTTCTGCGAAATTTCCTTATACAATTCACAAATAATCCACTACTGGAAATAAGACTCTCCATAGTGAGATTCTCCGATAATGTACCACTTGGGGTTCTATTTGGCAATTGCCGCACTTTTAGGGACTCTTCGTCTATATAATAATAATAATACGTCGACATTACCATTCCGTATGACGAGAACCTCGTGAAAGCAGGAAACAGATAAACGAACAAAATATCGGGACCTGGCTCACGAGTGACCGACATGTGGGGTGGTATGCCGGCCGAAATTATTCCTGTAGTCGTCTCTGCGAATGGGCTAATCCCAGTCAGCCTCCCGGGTCATCTGAGGCGACTGGGACTCCGTGACGGACCGCTCCGGGCTCAAATGCAGAAAGGCGGTGCTCCTCGATACCGCCCGCATCGTCCGCCGGTTTCTTTCCCTTTCCTCCTAACCCTCGGCCGTTTGGTCTCCCCTGCCGAGGGCTTCCATCTGGTTGGGCTTTTATTTATTTATGTATTTTTGTATTTATTTTATTTTAAATATATTTATGTGTTACCCCACATAATATTAATAATAATATTATATTATTATATCCAAACATACTTTACATAAAAACTAAAACTTATAAAATTACATTGACAAGACGTAATCTAACCCAATACTTATATTAAGGTAACTTTAGCAACCGTGCTAGGTCACAGACCTGTGTTACAACTGCTAAGACCTCCCCTTTAAATACGTACCAAATAGAATAACAAAAGCTTAAAAACAATTTTACCGCAATCAAGAAACGAATTGAAGTGAGTAGAAGTAAAATATTTAGCTATGTACTAATCCAACAAATGGCTCGATAATACTAAAGCTAAATGTTTAGTTGTATAGTATAAGAGTAAGATATAATATATAGTGGTATAAGTACATAAGTAAGTATAATATAATATATAGTACAAATTGTTAAGTATACATGTTTGTAGTGGTATATACATAGTCAAAAATACAGTCAAAAAGATCTAAGCATATCTTTCATAGATCACTGACTGCCATCATCATCATCATCATTACAGTCTTTCTAAGTCCACTGCGAAATAGAGGCTATACAAAAATATACGGAGAAATCAGACAGATATACATTTTTTTAAATGGTTAATAATATCAATAATAGGAAAATATTTCGATATTACAGACAAACACTTTAATCTTAAATATACATTTATATATGTATAGATATTTATTATATTTCACCACGCGCGAGGTTAACTGAGAGAATAACAAAAGGAATTAAGTCTGTCTTTGTAACCCTCTAAGTTAAAGTGATAGCAATAAAGTGTAAACAAATAAATATAGATTAAATTTCTATACTTATGCTTCTTTTACGTGAATAATTCATACACATTTTAGTTAATAAACGGGAAAATACCGTGTAGCAACAGTGTAAAAGAATCCTCTACTCCACATGTGACTCCATATAGAAAATATTCTCCAATTAGATAATCTATGGTAATCTATCTATGACGTAGATATGAATCCGATAAAGAGGGATTGTTATCTATAGAGGAAACCTATGTTCAGCAGTAGATTTGTGACGAACTGTTACTGCAACTGTAACTCTGTAATCTCATTTAGCACCCAAAAAATTAGCTTTTCATGTACAAATCGTTTCAAAATGAGAATAATATAATTAATAAATTCAGTGCTCCGAAAATTTCGTGTTCCAAATTTCAAGACAAGATCAAACTTCTTGTATTACGCATACGTTATGCATGACGGAAGCGAATCGTATTATATAACAATTTATAACTTGAAAACGCTTCAACCACTGTAATATATTGTTGTATACTATCTCTACAGATTTAAGTTATATTTAATTCATAAACGATGAATAATTTGATTTCACAACGTTTTTTTACTTTCTTGTAAATAAATACGAAACACACCGATTTCCCCCTCAGTTCATCCGATACAACTTATAAAAGTCCACTGCGGAACATAAGTTTCATAGGGGGGATTTTGTCATAGTTGCCATGCTTGGCAAGCGGGTTCGCAACCGCAATTTTTGTAATATTGAGCTGTTATAAGGAAGATGCTACTGCCCGTCTCCTATTTCAATTTCACTCTGTCACCATTTACAACACCCACGTGACGACTTGAGTAGTGGAAATTCTAACACCACCACCACACGGTAACCTCATTTCCACGAAATAAAGAACAGAACCATAATGGCTGGAAAGTTTTGGTATTTTCTGATGGCATAAAAAGTCAAAACCATCATAAAATTTTCCTATTTATAAGCACCAGACCTAAATTAGACGACGGTTATTCTCTAAAGATTTACTCAGGCATATTCGTATTATACTCGTAACTACGGATATAAACGAATAATATTGTCAAAATTGGTGTTTTATTAACTTAAATAAAAAGATAATAAGATTGAAATCATGTTTTATAAAAATAGTTTACCTACCAGTTGAGGCATCAAAAACAACGATTTTAGGACCAATGCGACCTGGCCTTTCGTCTGCGGTATCTTGTTTCTAAATAAAAATAATAATACTTAAAGTAAAAATAAAATTTATTGTCAATTTTTCAACCGTTATAAAAAGTTATCGATGAAATAAATTATAACCTGACTGAATATAAAAGTCAAACAATTAAACTATTTCATTTGTATAACTGTAATTTTTAATTTGTTTATGTTTTATTTTATCTTAGGAATAAGTTTTAACTTTTTTTAAGTCGATAAAAATTGTAAATTTAATTTTCATAGAATAAGGGAGACAAACGAGCACACAGTCCATCTGATGTTAAGTGGATGCTGTGGCCCATAGACATCTACATTTATCCTTGATTAGGAATCAAAACGCAGATGCGTTGCCACCCCTGAGGAGTAAGATAGAATACCTCGTTTCCTGTAAAAATGGTCCCCGGTTCTCTACACTCATCATACGAAACAC